GCCTCGCCGCCGCGGCAGCCCCAGCCCCGCCCCCACCCCCTCGCCTGCCCCCACCCTCCTTCCTTTTCTCTCGCTCTCTCGGCGAGAGCGGCGTGCCTCCCTTCCCAGATGGCAGCCGGCAGCGCCATGCAGCCTCCCGTTCCTCCGCCTCCTCTCCCTCCTCTCCGGCTCTAAGTTAATGCCATGCTGCCGCTGCTCCTCCCGGCACTGCTGGCCGCCTGCCTGCCGCCCTGCCAGGGCTGGAGCCCCTCGGCGGCTGCCAGCGGGCAGGAGGAGCAGGAGCAAGAGCTCTTCTTGCCCCCTGTCAACTCTTCCTCCCGCTCCTTGGCCAGCCTCGAGATGGACCTCGACGGGGCAGCAAGCAAGGAAGAAGGCAGCACCGCCAGCCCGGGCACGCCGGCTGCCCCTAGCCGAGAGCCTTTCCCTTCCGCTCCCACCTCCTCCGGGCAGCAGCAGCAGCAGCAACAGCAGCAACGTCCCCAGCCGCAGCCCGCCGAGGACCCGCACTGCAATATCAGCGTGCAGCGGCAGATGCTGAGCTCGCTGCTGGTCCGCTGGAGCCGCCCGCTGGGCATCCAGTGCGACCTCCTGCTCTTCTCCACCAACAGCCACGGGCGGGCCTTCTTCTCCGCCGCCTTCCACCGGGTCGGGCCGCCGCTGCTCATCGAGCACCTGGGGCTGGCGGCCGGCGGAGCCCAGCAGGACTTGCGCCTCTGCGTGGGCTGCAGCTGGGTGCGGGGCAGGCGGGTCGGGCGCCTGCGGGGCGCCGTCCCTCAGGCCGCCGCCGCCGCCCCCTCCTCCTCCTCCTCCTCTTCCTCGCTCTCCTACCCGCCGGCGGCGGAGCCCGGCCAGTACTGGCTGCAAGGGGAACCGCTGAATTTCTGCTGCCTGGATTTCAGCCTGGAGGAGCTGAAGGGGGAGCCGGGCTGGCGGATGAACCGCAAGCCCATCGAGTCTACCTTGGTGGCTTGTTTCATGACACTGGTCATCATCGTGTGGAGCGTGGCCGCCCTCATCTGGCCGGTGCCCATCATCGCCGGCTTCCTGCCCAACGGCATGGAGCAGCGCCGCAGCACCGCCGCCGGCACCGCCGCCGCCGCCGCCAAGTAGCCTCTCCCGGTG